CCCCCCCCCAGCTCCTGGGAAGAGACTCCAAGCCTTTCTCCCTGTGCCCAGGGAACTGTTTGGGGGTCTGGAGGCGCCCGGTCTGGGGGGTGTCTCCGGTCTGCTATCTCAGAGGAGCTCCTCCACAGAGGGTCTGCAACCTTGGAAGAGTGCAGAGCCCTGTTGTGCACACTTCTGGGGGGTCCAGCGGAGAGCACCCCTCAGGCCTGACCCTCTGGGAAGAGGCTACGACGGGCGGCCTCCCGGGGCCGGGGTCTGGGCCTCCATGCCCAGAGCGGTGATGACACGTGGACTGGGGGGTCGGGGTCTCGAGGGCTGGCGTCTGGCAGAACCCAGGCCAGGGGCTGTGGAAATGGCTACAGGGGTGTCAGGGAGCGGGCGGGCCCCGGAGGGAGGGCACGGCCCCCGGATGGGAGATTCTTCCCTGTTGCACTTTCTGGGCTCCTGACGCAAGCGAAAGCACCCGGGGAGATAAGTGCGGAGGGGAGGCAGCCGGGGCTGGCCCCGACCCAGCCCCGGCCCGGCCCCACGGCCCACCCGCTGTTAGAGCAGGTCTTTGTGCCCCAGCCTCACGGTGCGGGGGTGGGACGGGGCTCGTGGCACAAAGCCATCCTCTGAGCACATGGGACAGTGCTGGCCAAGGTCTCAGCTGGGCATAAATAGGCCACCAGCTGCATCCGCGGCGTTCACTTCGGAAGAGCCTTCCACGGAGGCTCCTGTACCACTGAGCGCCCTCCACCACGGCTCCCGGACCACCCAGGGCCCAGGGCCCCCGTGGCCTGGACCCAGGTAAGGTCAGCCAGCCTCTGGGGACACAGCCCAGCTCGCTGGGGCCCCGCTTTGCATCCACAGGACTGCAGCACCTGCTGCCCGCAGCCTGGGCCGGAAGGGGCCACACCGGACGCCGCCACCAGGCGCAGAGGAGCAGCCTGCCCGGCAGACTCACTCGCGGCTCCTTTTTCCTATGCATATACTTCTTTGAGGGTCTGGCCTAAAGAGGTATAGGGCATGGGAAAATGGAGCAGCGAGGCCCCGCTCAGCCAGCCACCGCGGCCGCACGCCCTGCGTCACCACCAGACACGGCCCGGCCCAGCCGGGCCTCGCTGCCGCCTGCTGCCTGAGTGTTGGAAGCCAGCGCCTCGGAGGGTGTGGACAGCGGCGGGGGGAGGGGGGGGCTGGGGCTCCAGGTCTGAGGAGCAAGTGGGACTGACGGGCCAAGGTCTTAGAGGAAGCCCTGGACCAGGACCTGCGACTGCCATCCGAGTTAGTGCCAAGCCTGGTCCGGATCCTGGGGGCTGTGTGCTGGGGCGCGGGGCAGCATGGCGGGGGGTGGGGCAGCATGGTGGGGGTGGGGCAGCATGCGGGGGTGCGGGGCTACGTGCCGGGCTGCGGGGGGGGGCTCCCTGCCCGCAGAGCCCAAGGACCTCGAGACCCTCAGGTCAGGGGGCTGGCCTTTGACATTTTCTTTACAGGTGCAAAACACACTGTGTGCACCAGGCTTTCCACACCAGTGCGTGGCCCTGGGTCTGACGGAGGAGGGTTCCGTGGGCTCTGGGTGGAGGAGAACCACTTCCTGACACTTCCGACGGGGGTGGGGGTGGGGCTGCTTTTCTGATCAGAAGTGTGGGTGAAGCTGGAGTGGAGGTGCAGCTTGGGGCCGTAGCTCCGCCTGGGGTGGATGGGCCTCGAACTCGGCCCCCAGCACTACGCAGGCACGCACACTTGCACACGCACATGTGCATGCACACACAGCTGTTTAACTTAAATTCATGATGTGTAGTAAAGCCAACACAAATAAAGCATCCAGGGAGCCACTCTGCTTCACTGTGCCTTTTCTCTGCGCCTGCCGGCGGTGTCAGACCCACCAGAGGTCTGGGTGCCACAAAGATGACTTCCTCACACTCCAGTGGGGCTGTGGGGCCAGCCCAGATCTGGGCCCACCTCTCGAAGGGCCCAGGAACCTGACCAGACCAAGGACACCACTGGGGCCCGAAGAGCCCAGGAGCTCCAGCTCCCTGGCAAAGAAGCATGGGGGTGGGCAGGAGGAATCTGGAAAGCCGCTGTTGGCTGATGACTTTCAAAGGTCAAGTCTCCAGACAGGTTCTTGCCACAGCCTCTACCTGTCTGGATGCCATCTCGGAGACCAGATGACAGCTGGCCCAATAAAGTGAACAGCCAATGGCACCGGCTGCGGGCAGTCAAGCCAGCCTGGCCTCTTCCGAAATCTCATCATAGTGGCTGCGCTGACACTAGCCAGGTTGGGCTGGGCCCCGGGCGGTGAAGAGAAAGACAGGGGAGAAAAGAAGGGGCTGGTGGGGGGGGAAGGGCCCCATCCCACCTGTTCACACCTCCTACACACACCTGCTTCCACCACACCAAACACACCTGCTCCCACCTCCTACACACACACCCCCACCACACACACCTGCTCCCACCACACACACACACCTGCTCCCACCACACCACACACACACCTGCTCCCACCACACACACCTGCTCCCACCACACACACACACCTGCTCCCACCACACACACACCACCACACACACACACCTGCTCCCACCACACACACACCTGCTCCCACCACACACACCTGCTCCCCTGCTCCCACCACACACACACACCTGCTCCCACCACACACACACCTGCTCCCACCACACACACACACACACCTGCTCTCAGCACACCACACACCTGCTCCCACCACACACACACACTTGCTCCCACCACACCACACACCTGCCCCCCCCCCCATGTTCCTGCCCCTGTTCTGCCACAGGCCCTCTTCAATTCTCCAAGTGACTCTCGGAAGTTGTCACCGTGACTGCACACAGTGAACAGCTTGTTTGCGTTCCGTTACTAACCCATGTCCTACACACAGTGCATCGTGAGGTCTAATGGAGGCACAGCCCGGCACAGCCAGGGATGAGTGCTACACAGACAGCCAGACACACAACACCCTTAACACACGAGTGACCCACACCTCCCTGCCCACACCATGGGCACAGTGCCCGGCACTCAAATGACGCCACGTGCACAGTGTCTGCCGTCCACTCCCTGCTGAGGACACAATGCCTGAGTCCTGGCCAGGCGTCACGCAGCACCCAGTGCGGCAGCTCCCGCCCGTGCCTCCCGCGTGGTGCACGCCGCAGCCTGCACGCAGCCGTGCAGGGCCCTCTGGGCACAGGCAGAGGGAGGCACACACACGTGCGAATTTTCAAGCACAGGAAACTGACTTTTTTCCTGTTCCTGGGGCCTGGGCACCATCCCTGAGCTTCTGGGCTCAGGCTAGCCCTCTACCTCTTGAACCACAGCTCCACTTCCAGCTTTTTGTGGCTAATTGGAGATCAAGTCACAGACTTTCTTGCCTGGGCTGGCTTTGGACTGTGCGCCTCAGATCTCAGCCCAAATCCCACCACTCCCCCAACCTTGTTTCTAGGCTGCCAGGTGGGGGCAGTGTCTGCCCACCACTGTCAGGGCAGCCTGGGGGTGCCTTCAGCCAGGCCGGGGTAGCAGTGTGGTCAGGACCTTCTCTACACTGCAGGTCCAGGGCAGCCCAGGGTACCGAATAGCAGGGAAGACAGGGGCCGAGTCCTGGGCCATCCATGTTGAGCAGTCAGCCAGAAGACCAGCAAGGGAAACGAGCAAGCCTGAGCCAATGGGAAAACAGACGGAGATCAGAAGGGGCCACCGTGTCCTATCAAGCCTGGTGTGAGGAGAGGCCAGGGTGCTCAGCCGGGCCTTCCGGGATGTGGAGGGGTCTCCATGCCCAAGTCCTCCTCGAGACTCCACAGCCCAGCCCTGGGGCGGCCAGCGGGCCCCGGGCAGCAAGCCCGAGCAGGTGGGTCCGTGGGTCCCTGCATACCCGGCAGGGAGGGGTAAGGAGCAAAGGCAAGAAGGGAGCGGCCAGGAGTCCCTGGGGGCATGGTGGGCGGGTGTTGGTGCTCGTGGTGACACTCCACAGGCCGGCAGACAGCCGAGACTGAGCTCCGCTCAGATGCCAGCCCGGCACGCGCACGGCAGCCTGAGAATAGTCGGCTCCAACAGCACACAAGACCACCGGGACCTTAAACAGGGCCGGGGCCTCCCCCGGCCTCCTGCCCAGCGCAGTTCACCGGGAGGGCGCCAGCGCCCCCTGCAGGCCAGGATGCTCTGCACACAAACGCAGTCTCCGTCCCTCAGGCAGCCTGGGAGTTGCGTGAGGCCGAGTCAACACCAGGGGGCGCCAGCAGCCAACCGAGGAGACCGAGGCGGAGAAGCCGCCTGGCTCCCTGGCTTGGATGGACGCCTTCCAGGAGGAAGCAACTTTCTGTGGCATTCACCCAACAGTGTGTGGTGTTCTGGTAACCCCAGTTAACGACGACATCGCTGCCGAATTCCTCGTAGCCTTCCAGAGGGCTGTAGGTCATCAGATAAAAATAAACTAAAAACTGGAAACAAAGATTAAAGAGGGGGAAAGAGAAAATAATCGTAACAACTGCTGGACACCAAGGTGAAACTCACCGGGTGAGGTGGGCCGGGCAGGCCTTAACCCAGGACTCATCCTGACCAAGGCCGGAGCAAGAGGCAGCAAGGACACCTGGAGTCACCATGGGGGCACAGTCTTAGGGGTCCAGCTTCTGAATTTCTCTTTCCTAGCCCTAGGTCTTGAACTCAGGGCCTGGGTGCGGTCCCTGAAGCTTCTTTTGCTCAAGGCTAGCTCTCTACCACTGAGTCACAGCACCACTTCTGGCTTTTTCTGCGTATGTGGTACTGAGGAATGGAACACCGCACTTCATGCATGCTAGACAAGCGCTCTAGCACAGAGCACGTTCCCAGACTCAGCTTCCTGATTTCTGAGAGGCCCTCCCAGGTGGGGATGGTCTATGTTGAAGTGGTGTGCTGACTGGAATGCCAACTGATTTTATCAGAAGGAAGTCAATTTCATAACATGTTTTAATGTTCACTAAAACAACTTTTTTACCTGCTGTCTGCTCATAAAGAAGACAGGAATTGCTAATGACTTCTTGAGGGGCAAATTTTCATTCAGCGATGACTTCTGGAAAAATGGCTGGAAAATTATGCATATATGTATATTATATGTACATTATATATATGGTGGGGATGAAACTTGGGACCTTGTGAATGCTAGGCAAGAGCTCTTCCACGGATAATATCAACCCCTCATCTGACCAAGTAAACTTTTAACCAAAAGCATCAGGTCACAAGGATTAGAGGACAAGGTCTGGGCTGGGAAGGTGGTTCAGTGGTAGAGCGCTCGCCTCGCATGCAAGAGGCCTTAGGTTCTATTCCTCAGCACCACATAAACAGAAAAGGCCGGAAGTGGTGCTGTGGTTCAAGTGGTAGAGCGCTCGCCTTGAGCTGAAGAGCTGAGGGGCAGTGCCCAGGCCCAGAGTTCAAGCCCCAGGACAGACAAAAAGAAAGACAAGGTGGAGCAGTGGTCAGGGGTCGAGCAGATGCTCAGCACTCCCAAGGCCCGTGTTGGCTCCACCGAAGACCCCAGACACGGAAGGAGCTCAGATCTTCATACTGAACCAGGACCACCGCTGGCCTGGAACCAGTCGCTTGAAAACTACTTGCACAAGTGCTGGCTTCAGCATCATGTCTAGTGGGAGGACCCGAACTGGCCGCTTCCTGGGCCTGGCGGAGACACAGCTGAGGGCTGCTGAGGGAGGAGAACGGACAAGTCCGGACTCGGTCATCAGCCGGTGAGCACTGTTTACTGAGGAATGCGAGGGGTACAGACCTTTCCGGGCGTATGGAAGTTGTGCGAGGGGCTGGATTTTGGGGTGGGCTTAATACAGGGCTTAACAAGGAAGCAGAGAATAAAAAATGGGCTATGGTCTCTCGGAGCCCAGAGCGATGTCCTTGGCCAGGCCCAGAGTGGAGGCTGGGTGTGGGGGCTGCTGTCCTCTGGGGGCCAGGGGGGGAAGGACCTGCCTGGGGACATGCCCAGGAGCACACACCTGGTGCTGTGCTCGGCCCTGGGAATCAGTCCTTCATATTCCATCTTCAGATACATAAAAAGACCGGCTGAGAGGGGGAAGCGGCTCCCTCTAGGGCCGCCTACAAGGGGTATTTACTTCCAAGAAGGGGCAGGTAAGCCCCCCACCAATCGCACCTGAACAAGGCACCCGACCGGTGTGCAGAACCTCCCAGGCTCCTGGCTCGTCCTGCCCGGGAGGGGCACCACCCCATCCGGCCTACCAGCCTCGCCATCTCTTCCACAGCCAAGGCTGCGCGCCTACCCTCCTAGGGCCAGGCTGAGTTCCCTGTCACTAAACATTTGGCCTGGACCTGACCAGCTGCTTTACAAGAGTCCACTAGACAGAAGCTGGCCACCAGGCAGGGCAGAGGCGCGGTGGAAGGTGGTACCCCGGGTCCCCACGGGCTGTCCAATAGCTCTGGCCAAATGTGGGATGGCTTCAGGCTTAGCAGGGGCTGGGAGGGGCTCCAAATCCCACAGATAAGTGGTTTCCACGGTGAAGGGGATGGCTCGTGCTGACCTGCTCCAGGACGTCTGGGGAGGGACGGAGCATAGCTGCCTACTGAGCTGGGAAGCTGGGCCTCCCCACCCCAGCTGGCAGGACGGCGACCGGCCCTAGTTCCCTAGACCTGGGAAACCTCTCTGCGGTTGGTTCTGGGGTTGGCCCACGGCACTGGGGTCTGATGTCCTGCGTGGAGATGACAGGTGTGCAGGAGGGTAGGCCAGGAGGAATGGCCAAGGCTCGGGCCAGGTTTGTGCCCCTGGGTATTCCCTGGTGAGAGCTGGGCCTGGGCGGAGGCCACCGGCGCCCTCCATGCCCACCTGGCCCTGGGTGCTCACTGCAGTGCCGCAGGACGGCCTCCAAATTCTCCCGAGAGTCCATCCTGCCAGCTGCCACGTGGGGTGGTCTTCCCATCCCGGACACGCCGGCCTGGCTCCCACACTGACCCGGGCACCTGGGTTAGGTTTGCTCCTGAGCGTGGCTTGCAGGCAGCTACTTCCCAGAGCCCGGCCTCTGTGGGTGAGGCTGGCAGGGACCTCCCCCTGGCCACGGGAGGAAGGCCTGCAGGCCAGGCTGTGGTGCCTCGGGAAGGGTGGAAATTGTCCCCTAAAAACCTGCTGCCCAGCTACTGCAGTCCTGAGGGCTGAGGATCGCGGTTCAAGGCCAGCCCATGTATGAAAGTCCATGCAATTTATCTATGGACAGACACACACACAGACAGACACACACATACAGACACAGATACACACACAGACACAGAGACACAGAGACAGACACAGACTCACACAGACACACACAGATATACAGACAGACACAAGCACACAGACACATACAGATACAGACACAGATATATAGACAGACACAGACACAGACTCACACAGACACACACAGATATACAGACAGACACAAGCACACAGACACACATACAGATACAGACACACAGATATACACACAGACACAGAGACACAGACAGAGACAGACTCACACAGACACAGATATACAGACAGATACAAGCACACAGACACACATACAGATACACAGATACACACAGACACAGAGACAGACTCACACAGACACACACAGATATAGACACAAGCACACAGACACACATAGATACAGACACAGATATACACACAGACACAGACTCACAGACACACACAGACATGAGACACAAGCACACACACACAGACACACATACAGATACAGACACAGATATACACACAGACACAGAGACACAGACACAGAGACAGACTCACACAGACACACACAGATATACAGACACAAGCACACAGACACACATACAGATA